TTATGTGAATATAATTAATGCCACTGAATTATAAACTTAAAAATGATTAAAATGGCAAAATTTGTTATCTATCTATCTAAAACTTAAAAAGAAAAATACACAACAGAGGTGTATATGTGTGTTTGTGTGTGTGTGTGTGTATCATTACTCATTGCCAAGTTGGCCCTCAAATCACGGCAATCCCATATACAATGGGATCAAGATCATTGTCATGCATAGGATCTGCACTGACTGATTCTTTTGGAAGTAGATACTCAAACCTTTCTTCCTAGTCTATTTTAGTCTTCCTAGTCTAGAAACTCCACTGAAACTTGCTTGGCATCATAGCCACACACAAGCCTCCACTGACAGACAAGTAATGACTGTGCTTGAGGTACACTGGCCGGGAACTGAACTTGGGTCTTTGCATGGAAGGCAAGAATTCTACTAATCAATAACCACTGCTCTCTATTGATGATTTATGCATCTATAAATCACCAGCTCATGTACTCCTTCCTTCACTCACTCTCTAAATACTTCTTCAATCTCCTATTATTTATGCTCGTATATCTAAAAAAATTTAACATTCCTAACAATAGCTACCATCTATTGAGCACTTTACATGGTTGAACTTAATCTTCACAACTTTGTTTTATATTATTTATATTATCATGCTCATCTTACAGATGAGGAAAGAGTGAATTAATTTGATAAAGAACACAGTTAACAAGTGACAGAGCTAGGATACTGGGGCAGCCCTCCTATGTGATGAACTATACTATCTAACACCTATTGCAGAAAGGATGTGGGAAATGGTATTCTCATATATTTCAGGTAGAAATGTGAAGATGCAGCCTTTTGGGACAGTGATTATTAAAATTAAAAGTACATACGACCTCTGACTCAGAAATCCCACACTTGGAAATCTAGTCACAGAAATGAAAACACCAGTAACGCTGTGCACATGTACAAAGATGTTTACCTCCTGACCATAAAACAAGACAAACAACAACAAAACCACTAGAAACAGGGACATGGCTGAATGTTATGACACAGCTCTACTCTGGAATGTCATACAGACATTAACAACAATGATACTGAGCTCTACCAACTGACCTGAAGGGAACTGAGTACTGCAGAGTATGAGAAGCAAGAAGCAGAAAAGTATGCATAATATGATCCAGTTTTGGAAAAAATATCCCTGCTTTTAATATACATTAAAAAAACCCCCACAAAATCCCAAACTCATTGCCATAGAGTTGGTCCAGACTTATTGGTCCAGTTGTGAGGATTTTTTTTTTTTTGAGGTGTAAACCACGTTGAAGGCTTTATCCTTTGATCTTCATCAAGTTCTCTTCACTTTCTGCAAGTAAGGTTGTGTCATCAGCATAGTGAAAAGTGTTAATGGATCTTCCTCCAATCCTGATGTCATGTTCTTTTTCATATAGTCCAGATTATTTGCTTATCTTACAGACTGAATAAACATGGTGAATGGATACAACCCTGACACACATCTCTCCTGATTTTAAACCATTCAGTATTCCCTTGTTCTATTCCAATAATTGCCCATTGGTCTATGTACACGTTCTGTATGAGCACAATTAAGTGTTCTGGAATTCCTATTCTTGGCAATGTTATCTATAATTTGTTATAGTCCACGCAATCAAATGTTTTTGTGTAGTCAACAAAACACAGGTAAACATCTTTCTGGAATTCTCTGCTTTCAGCCAAGATTCATCTGACATCAGCAATGATATCCCTCACTCCAAGTCCTCTTCTGATTCAGGCATGGATTTCTGGCAGTTCCCTATCAATATACTGCTAGAACCATTTTCTAATTAACTTCAGCAATATTATATATATGTCAGCAATAGTGATAATGATATTGTTTGACAATTTCTGCATTGTTAGATTACCTTTCTTTGGAATGAGCACAAGTATGGATTACTTCCAGTTGATTGGCCAGGTAGCTGTCTTCCAAATTTTTTGGCAAAGACAAGACAGACCTTCCAGCATTTCATTTGTTTGTTGAAATATCTCAATTGGTATTCTGCTAATTCCTGGAGGCTTGTTCTTCTCAATGCCTTCAGTGAAGCTTGGGCTTCTTCTTCCAATACTATCCATTCTTTTTTTTTTTTTTTTTCAATTTTTATTGTGATTTGGGTAAAAGTTTACAGAGAAAATTCATTTTCCATACAGCAGCTCACATACACTGTCTCATGACATTGACTGCAATTTTCTTCCCACAATGCAAAAGCTCCCCTCCCACTTCCTCCTCATAGTTGCCTCTTCCCTGTGTCCTTCCTTTTCATGTACTCCTGCCCCCAGAGCTGTCTCCCTGTGCATACACAGCCCTTCTATTCTCCCAAGATTGTTCTCTCCAAGGAGTGCATCTACCTAACGTAAATATTCAGCTCATATGCCTGTCTTTTGTTTGGCTGGAAGCCACAGGAGTGGGTTCAATTCCAGACCTGAATGGCAGCTAGAAGCATAGTCTCAGTGGTTCCACTTAGTGGTTCTATCAGACCAGCAAACATGGTACTTTTTTTTTTTTTCAAATGATTTTGAGTTTTGTTCCACATTTTTCTTCCACTCTAGCCAGGATCTCCTACATAGCTATACCATCCACTCTTGACCATATGCTACCAATTCATTTTGGTACAGACTCTGTGTATTCTATCTACCTTTGATGCATTCTGCATCATTCAGTATTTTGCCCATAGAAAATCAAAACCAAACTCACTGCCATCGAGTCAAATCTGACTCATAGCAACCCTTCCTGGGGTTTCTGAGGCATAACTCTACAGAAGTAGATTGCCCAGTCTTCCTTCCAAGGAGTGGCTGGTGGGTTTGAACTGCCAGCCTTCTAGTTAGCAGTCAAATGCCTTAGAGTCCTTCAGAATTGCAACTGGAAGCCTGAATTTTTTCTTCCATTCTTTCGGCTTGAGAAAAGCAGAGCGTATAATTCTCTTTTGGATTTCTAACTCTAGATCTTTGCACATTTCATTATGATACTTTACTTTGTCTTCTGGAGCAGTCCTTTGAAATGTTCTGTTCAGCTCTTTTAACATTCTTTCCATTCATTTCAGCTATTCTACACTAAAGATCAAGTTTTATTGTCTTTTCTGATATCCATGTTGGTCTTTTCTTTCTTTTCTGTCTTTTTAATGACTTTTTGCTTTCTTCATGCATGATACTCTTGATGCCATCCCACAACTCATCTGCTCTTTAGGCATTAGTGTTCAATGCATCAAATCTATTCTTGGGATAGTCTCTAAATTCAGTGGGATACACTCAAGGTTGTACTTTGGCTCTTGTGGACTTGTTTTAATTTTCTTCAGCTTCAAATTGAACTTGCTTATGAAACTGATGGTCTGTTCTGCCGTTGGCCTCTGGCCTTGTCTAACTGATAATAATGAGCTTCTCCATAGTCTTTTTCAGATATAGTCAATTTGATTTCAGTGTATTCCATCTGGTGAGGTTCATGTGTATAATTGCCATTCATGTAGTTGAATGGAGTTGAAGAAAGATATCTCCAATGAATACACTGTTGGTTTTGCAAAATTCTATCGCATGATCACTGGTGTCATTTCTATCAACAAGGCCATATTTTGCAACTAATTCTTCTTTATTTCCAACTTTTGCATCCAATTTACAATCCAGTTTTCTTTCTAGGTTTTATCTATGCTCTCTCAACAGATTTCAGTAATTATCAATGTATCCTGACTGCATGTTTGATCAATTTCTGACTGCAAAAGTAGGTATAAAAATCTTCAATTTCTTCATGTCTGGCATTAGTGGTTGGTGCATAAATTTGAGTAACAGTCGTATTAACTTGTCTTCCATGTAAACTTGTCTTCCATGTAGGCATCTGGATATTATCCTACCAAGACAACGTTGTACTTCAGGTTAGATCTTGAAATGTTCTTTTTGACAGTGAATGTGTACCTCTTCAATCTGTCATTCCTGGCATAGTAGTAGACCATATGATTGTCTGATTCAAAATGACTGATAGCAGTCCATTTCAGCTCACTAATGCCTAGGATACTGATCTCCAAGCATCCTATTTCATTTTTGACAACTTCCAATTTTCCATGATTCATAATTCATACATTCTACTTTCTGATTACTCATTTGTGATTTTCATTTTGCATCATGTCAGATTAGCAAATAAAGCTCTCAAAAGCTTTACTGTATCTATGGCATTAAGGTTGACTCTAGCTTGAGGAGGCAGCTCTTTCCCAGCCATATTTTTGTGCATAGCCAAACAATAGAAAAGGAATCAAAGACTAACCAGGAAAGATACTTACTACATATAATAGACAAAAGTACAAATTTACTTTAAATATAAAAAGGCTATTAGAAATCAGTAAGGAAAATATTGATAACACAGTTGAAAAATGTGCAAAGGTTTTAAACTGTCAGTTCAGAGAACAAAAATCACAAATAGATAATAAACATATATGTTCAAATTCAATCACAATTTAAAAAATGCTTCAAATACGTGCAGGCACATATCTAGCCCTAACAATCTACTCACAGTGATCTAGTCAAGATCAAAAAGGACCTGGTTGCCAAATCCAATGAACCAAGAAGACAGACTAAATAAACACATTAGAGTACAAATATAATCTCTTTAAAGGAGAGGAAAAAGTTATTTAGAACCTATCAAAAGCATTTGATAAAATTCTAAATATTCTAGGTATTATTAAGGGGAAAACAAAAGATTATAAAACTGTACACATAGTATACTTCTAATTTTGACCCCCCAGAATGATATACACAACAGTATAATACACATATTATAAATATATACTAGCAAAAGAAAAAAAAATCACCAAGGTATTAATAGTGGTTGTTATTAATGGACTGAGTGATATTTTTCCTTCTATAAAATTTCCTAAATCTACCACATTCTCTATAATGAACTTGTAATGGTGTTTTTAAAATTAGAAATAGTTACAAATATTTTAAATTAGGAATCGTTTATAACATTTCCTCATCCAGATTCTCATACTTACCAGTAATAATGAGAATAAGCACCTTAGGCCTACTAGCACCTTGATCATTAAAGAGGTCAATCCAGGGCCCACATTTTAGAACCTGGGTTTCAATTCCACCACACAAAACAAATTCCTCATGCACAGGGATTTCTTCCTTGCTTTCTGAGTCCATTTCTAAATAAGGGAAGAAAAACCATGTGAAAAGTCACTAAAACATACAACCTGGAGTTGAAGAAAATATTCAAGAATTAAAAAAAGGCAAATGTCAATATAACTAGGAGATGCCACACAAATAGAGATGGTAAATATAAGACTATTCAGCAATTCCGGATTATAGGATTGCAAAAAAACTAAAGCAAAGTACAGGAGTGGGGAGAAACAAAGAAACACATTATTTGGCAAATAATAAAACCACATAAGGGTTTGAATCAGAATCACAGTAATCTTTTCCCTTATCTCTCCTCTCCCATCTAAACTGATAATAACCACAGATAGCATGTTCACTTTCTCTCTGCTGGAACTCTCTTATAGCTATGTATTTTATCAGTGGAAAAACATCCCCCTACTTCCACCCAGTGAAGACTGATGGTGGGGGGAAGAGATTACGATTTGCCCTTGCATTTTCTACAACAGAACACAAGAGGGACAGTGATTTCCTTTATGTTCTCTTCCTCATTTCAATGTATCATCATTTCCTTCCTCTAGTAATCTTCTCTTGCCCAAAATTAAATAGCATATTTAATATGTATTATTATTGTTATTCATTTTATTTGGATCCACAATCAACACCCATTGAAGCAGCAGTTAAGAAATGAGATGATGTATTGCACTGGGCAAATCTGCCGGAAAAGACTTTTTAAAAGGGTTAAAGGGCAAACAGGTCACTTTGAAGACTAAGGTGCACCTAACCAAAGCCATTGTATCTTCAATAGCCTCATGTGCACTTGAAAGCTGGATAACGAAAAAACAAGATTGAAGAAGAGTTGATGCCTTTGAATTGTGGTATTGGTGAAGAATACTGAATATACCATGGACTGCCAGAAGAACAAATAAATCTGTCTTGGAAGAAGCACAGCCAGAATACTCCTTAGATGTGAGAATGGTTGGACGTCATCTCTCATACTTTGTTCATATTATCAGAAGGGACTACTTCCTGGAGAAGGATACCATACTGGGTAAAGGAGAGTGTCAGCAAAAAAGGGGAAGACCTTTAACAAGATGGATTGACACAGCGGCTACAATGATGGGCTCTAGCATAGCAAAGAATGTAAGGGTGGTGCAGGACCAGGCAGTGTTTCGTTCTGTTGTATATAGGGTCACTATGAGTGAGAACCAACCTGATCGCACCTCACAACAACAACACGGTTATGTATTATATGTATTTTCAGTATTATTAAAGTTCTATATTATCAAATTATGAAATTTGTCTGTGGAAAAAATACTAGAATATGAGATTAAAATATGAGCAACTTTTTAAATAATCTATATATGTACAAAAATGTAGTCCTAAATTATTTCTACCTCCAATTCTACCCAAGCCTTCCTTATGTCTATCAACAGTACCATGTCTTAAAACTTCAATTGTCTTTCAATATTCACATTCAACTCTCCTCCATTCATTCAAAGTTCTCCTGAACTAAGACTCAAAGTATCTTTGTAAGCTTCTCTTCTTCTTCTATTTTTTACACCAATCTTGTACTCCAGGCTTCTTTGTCCTTGATTTCCTCAGTGTTCTCACATTTTTCTGTTCTTGTCACTTTGTTCATTTATTATTTATTTTCTCCTCCTGTCACTTTGCTCATTTACTTCCCAATAACTTCTAGAATATTTTCTGGAATATGCCAGTTATCAATTTATTGACTCTCAGTTCCAAATCCTTTATTGCTTATCTAAGAAAATGTATCTGGGCCCTTTATTTTTCCCTTTGCCAGCTGACATGATGTTAAACTTTGTCACTAGAGGGTGCTGGAGAGTCATTACAGAAGGAAGGAGCTTTCTTTCTAGGTTTCACCTATGCTCTCTCAACAGATTTCTGGAGAGCTTACTATGTTCCCCACCACCCTCCTCACCCCCACCTCTACCTATCCCCAGCTCAGCCCCTAGGTTTATCTAGTGCAGCAGTTTTCCACTGGAGACAAGTTTGTTCCCAAAGGACATTTAGCAATACCTGGAGATATTTTGGGGAGCTCTGGTTTTTGGAGATATTTTTTTCTATAACTTTTTTTTTTTTTCCCCTAGGGGGGGATACATACTACTGGCATAGGAGACTCGGTAGCACAGTAGTTAAGTGCTCAGCTGCTAACCAAAAGTTCGGTGGTTTGAACCCACCAGATGCTGCATGGGAGAAAGATGTGGCAGTCTGCTTCCATAAAGATTACAGCCTTAGAAACTCTTTGGGGGGGAGTGCTACTCTGTCCTATAAGTCAATGAGTCAGAACTGACTCAATGGCAATGCATATAGGAACCGGTACTACTGGCATAGCAGGGAGAAATCAGTGATGTGGCTGAACATTCTATGAAACACAAGATAGACCTACAACAAAGAATTATCCAGCCCAAAGTCACCAGTGTTGAGGTTGAGAAACCCTGCTCTAGTGCTAAATGCCTGTAGGAGACAGTTTTTCACCAATATCTGGCCAGCCAACACACATTTTCTGCTTCTCTAGCTCTCTACTAAGGCAGCAGTGGTGTAGCCAGAGCCCCCAGATAGCACAGGTTTGCACTCCAGACCAGTTCACTGCTCCCCAAAAATCCCTTCAGTCCCACACGCACACAGTGGGAAATCTGTCACACAGCCACCTAAACTTTGTTCTGCACAGGGGCCTAGAACTATCCTGTCCCAAGCCATACACCATACACAACAGCACTCAAGGTTCCTTCAAAGTAAGATCTCTTCAACTCCTGGTTCCAGCATCACCCAAAGTGACACCAGCTCTTGCAGTGTAGCCAACTCCCTCTGTGCCCACCTACCTGGTGCAAGTTGCCTGAGCCTTGAGGGCTGTTCTGCAGTCTTTCCAATACAGACTCTAAATACTCCAGGTCTCATGCCTCAGTGGTGCCTAGACCCCCTCTGTATACCCTCTACTAGACCTGGCTCGCCTACTGACAGTGACAGTGGGCCAGCTCTGACTCAGGCAAGCCAGCAATATCTCTACCATCCAATGAGCTGTAACCACACCTTCTTCAAAAAAGTTTGAAACCTTGTTCCAAGTTTGTCTTTCTTTGGTACCATCCCTCAACCCCAGGGTATCTTGCAGAGTTTTCTTGCCATCTTTACTGTTGTTCTCCTATCACAACTTAACAGTATTCTCTACATTTAACTTCCCATTTAAATTACTGTGTGGTTTCTGTCTCCTTATTGTACCCAGATTTATATTAGCCCTCATTTAGCTATCTTGATTTTCTTCTTCAAATCTTTCTTATGTTAGTGCAGATCTTTTGTCCTAAATGAGGCCTTCACTGAGCACCTCAGCTAAAGAAAATCTCCCCTTCCTCTAAACTCATAGCATCTGTCTTTATCATAACCTGGCCATGATAAGGTAATCATAAGGTAATCAGTAAGCTTTACTGGTAAATCAGTACAACTTGTTATCCATGTCATGCATGGTATACTCTCCCCTGTCCTAGTATTTACTATTATTAGCCCACAGTCAAGAAATTCGCTGTGAGTACTACCTGTCTGTCCCCAGAGTGAACACCTTAAAGTAAATGCAATGCTGGTTCGGATGTGGTGACATGGGAAAGTTTACATATTAATGGTAGTAATGGAAAAGGCTTTAGAAAGCAATCTGGCAGGATGGATCAATACTCGTAAAAGTGATAAACTTTGAGTCAGAAATGTCAAGAAATCAACTCTAAAAAAATAATCCAAAAGATTTACTTAAAGATTAGTTGCATGGGGTGTTATTTATAACAGTGAAAAGCTGAAGAACCTGTGTCTATCAATGGAGAAATGGGTAAGTACATTATGGTAAACCATCACACAGCCACTAAAAATGACATATATGATTCAACATTAGAGGAATGATTAAGTAAACTGTAGTTCAATCTTTTGATCAAATACTATATTCCATCAAAACTGCTGTTCTAAGTTGATTATAACCCATCCAACTCCTTTAAGTTTCTAAAATTTCACTTCTCTTGTCTGCTTGTTATATTGCCTCTTTTTGTATTGTTGTCATTTTAGTGGTAAGGTTAGGGGAAAAAAAAAGAGAAAGAAATGCATTTTGTTCCAACTTCTTTGTTTAATGGGAGCTCTGGTGACATAGTGGCTAAGGCACTTGACTGCTAACCAGAAGGCTGGAGGTTCAATCCCACCAGCCACTCCTCGGAAGGAAGGTTGGGCAAGCTACTTCCTTAGAGATACTGCCT